ACTGTGCTGGGGTTTGCTATTAATCATATTCATTAAATAGACTCTAAACATTAAAAACATTTATTCTGAGACTAACATTGCTGAAATGTTGGACATGAAAGCAGTGGCGGCTGCAGCTTATGCTGTTCTCTTATCATCACCAGCCACAGCAAGATTCATGCATGCATCATCTATACACCAACCCATCACAGCAAAGCCATGCATAAGTGTTTTTTGTTGTTGTTGCTACTCAGCTTTTTAAATTACTATCCCCATGGATAAGGATGAGTCAAATAAATGAATGCAACATTATTTTTAAAGGTTTAGTTAACCCAAAACATTTTATTTATTTATTTATTTTTCACTTCCGTTATCTGTCATACGTAGCATGTTGGCGTTGCATGATTAGTGACGAATGTGGAGATAGAACAAAACAAAACACTTGTCACAAATTAGAAGTACAAACCGAAGATTTGTAAAGAAAAATGTCAGAGGATTTCGATATAAGCCAAGAGGAGACTGGTTTTCCTTTTCTAAATTAAGGAAACTTTGCTTCCTTTGCTCCTGTAAACAAACTCGCGAGACTAGCATCTCAGAGGCGCGCGCGCTGCGCATACGTCATACGCCTTCCGCCGGAACGCTTCTGTGTATGACAGATAACGGAAGTGAGAGAAAAGTGTTCATTACGTTCGAAATATGGATATTTTTCTTACAAAAACACATGGATTCGCTACAGGAGTACTTTATTCATCCCCCGGAGCATCTGCGGCACATTTTATTATGAATGCGTGCGCTTTATTTGACGACCTGTGGATGCTTCGAGGCTGAGTAAAACATAGTCTAATTTTTTTGAACTAAACCTTTAAGTGCTATATTTAGCTTGACATAGACTCTTTTCCTCTCAGCGATGGAGATTGGGCCACAGCCTCACGGCGTCGTCAGGTCTGTGATATTCAGCGCCATGCAGGAAGGAGTTCAGCTGATGATGGACTGGATCTGTCAGTTCAACTCAGGTAGGTTTTCAGCCACAAACCCCTACAGAAATCAGTTTGCTGTGTGTTTTCATGGCTTGTATGCATCTCTCTGCTCAGGGACGCTGTTCGAAGGAGGATGGGTTGATGTGTACACAATGGTGAAGAATATCGACTATCCACGAGACTCTGAAACACACATGATCTCGGCCGCGGTCCATCCCGACCTACAGGTACAGAAAGATGATCAGAAACACTGCCACAAACTCCTCCAATCGCAGTGTTAACACCCTCCCTCTTATTTCCCTCTCGCAGGATAGAGATTTCTGCCTCCTTCACCCTGGAGACCCCATGTTCCTGTGTTTCTCGGGGGAAACGCTGCGCTACAGAGGGAAAGAAGCGCTCTATCCGTTCTTCATAAACGAGGGTGCGTACTATGAGAAGGGTGTCGCTCTTTCCCTCGCTAGGAAGAGAAGAGTGCAGATTCCTTCAGTCCGCTCAGAGACGCTGAGATGAAGAAACACAAGCATGAACATGAGCTCAAGACGAGTGTATTACTGATGCCAGGGAACACTGCATGTGTGAAAAACAGCCAACTTTAAAATATTCTGAAAAACATACATCCACTGTGTAAATAGTGCACAGATGATGTTTTTATTAGCATGGTGTTAGAAAACACTCTCTGTCTTTTGATGCCGTACCCCTCCTTTCTCACTCTTTCTCTCTCCTTCTCTGAATCACCCCTCCTCTATCTGTTCTCTCTCTCTCTTGTATGGTGTTTGAATGTCTCTTACGCAATATTCAAGGTAAAGGAAGTCTATTCCTTATATGGATATGTTTTTCTGTATATGTGGCAATTTTATACAAAACACATGTTCTTGGGAAAAACATCCTGTATGGGTATGTCACCCTATCCTCATTTGTTAAGAGGGTAAAAACTCCCCTCGACATGCCTATATAAGATCTGTATTTCTGTGAATAAATTGAAGTATTGAGAATACATGGACTGTGTGTTTTCTTACTTCCCGGCCGTATTTATACACTTGGAGAGACTGAGAAAATTTCACGGTGGCAAAGAGAATATCGAGGGACCAAATTGTTATTTTTATTAACACATGGACACACAGATCAACAACTACACTGGTCAGTCTGTGCGGTTACACAACAGATCAGAGAGATACTGTATCCCATAATGCACCTGACACCACCTTCCATCTCCAGTGTGACGAATGAACCGTCAACAAGCACTCATACTTAACCACACATGCTAGCAACCACCAAAAATAAATGTAATGTACAGAAATAAATATATAAATATGAATTCTAGTAATAACACCAATAAATTAAAAAGCAGCACACTTTAGGATTACTGGATTACTGCCTCTTCACTAAAGCTAAAACACAAGAGAAGTCGAGCTGTTTGATGTTTCTAATACAGAGGAAATCTGAGATCACAGATCGCACACGTCACAAACGCTGAGTGAAAGTAGATCAGTGCTCAAACTATAAAACACACACTCTTCTGTTCTTCAATTTGAGATGCTGGAGTTTAGATTGTGTTCCTGTTCATTTATCAGTTACAGCACCAGGGTCCAAAACTAACACTCCACTCCTGTGCTAAAACACAATTACTTCACAGTTTGCAGATAATGTTATTATGAACTTTATTTATTAAACATTTATAAGTAATTATTAAAAAAATCTATCCAAAAGATATTTATTAAATAAACTTCTCTTAAGCCCAAAACACCCTGCATGATTTTAAAATTTTATTATAAATTATTAATAAAAATAAATATTAGTTATTTTTATGTGGGGTTTAGCTTTTCCCATGAAACACAAACTGTTATTATGTAAGTCTTTTTTACATAATAACAGTTAAAAGTTTTTGTTGTTTGCAATAGTAAATGAAAATATTACCGGTGAGGTTTTTCTTTAACAGGTTTAGAATAAAATGAGTAGGCTAAAATCACCAACCGCGTCCATCATATTTTATTCCACGTCGTTTTAGATCACATACAGTAAAAGTAAAATGCCGTTTTACTGGTTATGAATAAAGTATTTTTGTGTCAATACCATGCAGCAGCCGTGAGAAAAAAGCCTATAATGCAGTTTCCCGTTTGTCGTCTGCAGAACAAAATGAGTAAACATTTTAACTTGCAAATTATGAAATTAAAGAAACATCAAATCAAAATAAGTGTAATCAAGAAAAAAAAGATGCAATTTCAAAAATAAGGATGAATAACTTTTTGCGCAGAACAGCAGGCAAACTCATGCTCTCCTGAGAAATTGTCTGACATGCAACTTGTACATAAAATAATCTGACATATAGCCTATGTACAGTTTAATAACATATAGCCTAGTTTGATATATGAATTGGGTGTTCGTCAACGATTGCATGCGGTCAGAGATTCCCGTATTTACAGCTCCATAAAATAACCTACCAAAAGCTCTGTAGTTTTGCTGTATAGGCCAATAGATAAAAATATTACAATTACAAACACACAATAACATTTTAAGTTACATCCATTTCTGAAAAAAAGAATGTAGGCCTAGTAATTGATGTTATATATAACTACACACGCCTGATTTTTGTTTTAATTATCCATCGTAAATAAAAAAAACATTTGCAATCAAGACTGAAAAAAGCCAGAAGTGAATGTAAACCAGATTTGGCCCAGACTCTGTTGCTATCTGTGAAGCCAAGCATAAGAATAGCCTACTAATGTAAATTTGTTAACCCACAGTAACACATTTTAACAGATTAATCGCATGTTTTCATTTGCTGCATGCTTTTAAAAACACAATAAAAAAGTTTTTTTTTTTTGAGGAAAATAAAAAAAAGATACGTCTCATATAAGTTGCATTTTCAGAAATAATAACGGCAGGCCTAATAATGTTATAATGTACCAACATTATGAACACTATAGGATAATTTAGCTCCCCTCACTTTACAACAAATCATTTAAATTTAACCGTATCAGAACGGAATAAGAATTTAAAAATATATAATGCTAATGGATAAATATAATTGCAGTATATAATAATATATGCTTAGCAATAAACATGCCAAAACAAATTAATTTATAAAGAAACGTAAGGTAAAGTTGGGCTTTCCTCTCTCAGGCACAAATCCAAATGTGTCCATATCCGCGATGTAGCTGAAGCTAAACTGTTAGCCTTATTAGGTCAAATAGGCTTTGTAGTTCACGCGCGTTCCAGTATCGACGGAAAAATATCATAATGAGCAAAAATATGCCACAGTGGACCGGGTCTCACGCCGAACAGCACGGTGAACGGCTGCTGTTTCAGATGAATGCAGTAGCTTAGTGTGCGCGTGAGGCGCCGGCGCGATCAAACAGCTGAAACATAAAATACACTACTCCCTCATTTCTGGTCAGACAGTAAAGGCATAATTCGAAACTGCAAAGTGCAAAGTGTTAGCAGTTTGAAAATTCAAGAATAATAGCAAAGTTCATAAGAATTATTTCTAAATGCAGCTCCATTCTTAATTCGCTCTGCATAACCTGAATGAAAAAAAATGTTTTTGCTAAGAACGAAACGAAATGAAAACATTTCACTTTTAATCTGTGTATTTAACAGCCTGGGACACCTTCCCAGGGCAGTTCCCTGCCTCACCGACTAAAATCAGGGCGCCCACTACGGAGACGGCAGCAGAGGTGAGGGGCACCGTGACCGAGATGGCCGGGCCGGGCCCCCTCAGGCCCCCTCAGGCCCCCTCAGGCCCCCCCGTGGAGCCGACGCTGAATGCATGTACCGTATAAATTAACTTACGGAACATCATCAGACTTAAGAAACAGTCATTTGAGACTGGATGCGTAATGCACTGTACAGTATCCGCACAACACCAACAGCTCATGTACGGCAGCGGTAGGCCTACAGTAGCCTGCTGTCGAACGGGTCCGACAGTTACAGTATGTATGTTTCTAAGCCATTTTCTAAATCAAGTACGTATAATAATAATAATAATAATAATAATTCATTACATTTATATAGC